CCCCTCACCTCTCACAACCAGTTTTAAATCAAATAAAGAAATGGCATCATAAAGAATGGATCACAGCTGAGACCTTGGGCAAGATAGAAGAGAGAAAACACAAGAAGGTGGCAGTAAACAACAGCAGGACTAGGGCAGATAAAGCCAAGGCCCAAGCGGAATAGGCAGAAGCCCACAGAGCAGTGACAAAGAGCATTAGGAAAGACAAGAATGTCTATATAGATGGAATGGGAGCTGAAGCAGAACAGGCAGCATACAATGGTAATATGAAACACCTTTACGCAATAATCAAGAAATTGTCTGGCAAGTACAGCAAGCCAGAACGACCCATCAAGGACAAAGAGGGAAAGGCCATCACAGAACTAGTGCAACAGATGAAAAGATGGTCTGAACACTTTGAGGAGCTCCAAGAAAAGACCAGCATATTGGCAGCCACATCAGCACAGGTTGGACTCATCAATCAACAAGGAGAAGACCAAAATCCTTAGGATCAACTCCAATAGTAACAACCCAGTCATCCTTAGTGGAAGTCCCCTGAGGAAATACACTCTTTTACTTAACTAGGTGGAACCGATGCAGATGTCAAGACAAGGATTGGAAAAGCAAGAGCCACCTTCATCCAGCTCAAAAACATTTGGGCATCCAGAGAGATGACCCTGACTACCAAGATCCGACTGTTCAACTCCAACGTGAAGTCAGTACTGCTGTAAGGGGCTGAAACCTGGAAGACAAATAAAACCTCAAATAGAAAAATCCAGACATTCCTCAACAGCTGTCTCAGAAGGATTCTCCACATTCGCTGGCCAGACACAATCAGTAACATCAAACTATGGGAAATAACCTGTCAACTCGCTGCTAAGGAAGAAATCAGGCAGAGAAGATGGTGCCGAGTAGAGCAGGGCGATATGGCCAAAAATATTTATCACGATATATACTTGAAAATTTGCGATAACGATATAACTGACGATATAATTGATGCGAGACAAAAATACAAAATACAATTCCACAACTTTACTAGCGCAAAAAACCCATCCATTTATTTTCACTTAAACAAGCAGCTGTTTTTTATGTGAATTAAAGCTATATAAAAATTTAACAGTGCAAATGCAAATTCCTTGCTGAAAGTTTAACCAAAGGGCATTTCGAGTAGAAATGGGCTGACATATCCTGAGCATAACCATGTATAATGTCCACTAAAGGTAATGTGGTGTCCTCGGATCACAAATGGTCCCTAGGTGAATGGCAAACAAGCATATGGGAATCCCGAGGACACCACAAAGGTTTAAAAAGAGGTGCTTTGCAACATTAAACTGCAGTGTGCCAAATAAAAAAGTCAAATACGTATTCTTCGGACCATAAGGTGCACGGGTTTATAAGGCACATTAAGCAAAACAAAGCGGTCAAATAAATCAAACTTTATTCAACTCATTCTTCTTGCTTCCTCCACTTCTGTACCATTGATTCGTTAATGCTGTATTCTATCACAGCTGCTCTATTCCCATGTTGTTGCAGTATATTAATGACTAACCTCGTATTGTGGATGGATTATCTCAGTTGTTCTCCTGACTGAAGTTTGGTCCGTTTACAGCATCCTGCCATGGGATTGCATTCGTCTCTAACCATCGGGAACCCTCACGTTAACTTTTATCGAGTGGAAAAGTGTTAGCATTCATCCTCCAGCTTCACTGTTTATGTTATGCTAACATAGCTGTGTTGGTAGCGTAGCGCATCATTATATACCAGCTAGCCCAACTTCAGTAACCCTACAAACATCGCTGCTGTTTAGTTTCCTGTCTTCATTTATGTTGGAAGTTATAGCAGAGCTGTACGTTTAAATTTTTTCAGAAATCTCTCAGTCAGAACATGCTATATCATGCTTAGCTCGCTAGTTTCGCTAGCTACCTAACTTTCTCAAACTTCCTGCTAACTTCTAACTCCGTTAAATGTAATAAATTCTGTTTTCATGGATGCCTGGATGTTAAACTTAATTGTTACACCTGGTAAAGCAGCAATGCTGATCATTTTATTATAGGTGAAATAATTTCGACAGTTTTTAACTCTCAATGTGCCGCAGTGTTCGTTTGACTTTGGGACCTGAAGCGGACGGAGTTTTAGACCCAGATTGCTCCCAGATTTACGAGCACCTTAGTCCGACAAATACGGCAATAACGACGGCCCGCTTTGCATGTTCTACAAAAAATAGTGCTTTGGTGGGTATCTTACGGACAAACACCAAACCAGTTCCACACCACTGAAGGTGCATCATTTTTACAAACCAATTCTGGTTCATCCGTTTCAGTCAACGATCCGCTTTCCCCCTTCTCATTCTCCGTTGCCGCCATGCTTTTTCGGCCATGTGCGTATGAAAACAAAGGCACTGCGCATGCGTGTTTTACCCATATTCTATCGCGATATTTTATATTCTTATCGTTGCCTAACATTATACCAGTATTACCGTGAACGGTATAATATGGCCCAGCCCTAGTGCTTGGCAGGGCACGCTTTATGCAAAATACCAACCAACATCACCAGGCAGGCTCTCAGGTGGAATCCCCAAGAGAGGCCGCCCAAGAAACACCTGACGACAGGACCTTGAGGCAGAAGCAAAAAAGATTGGCTACACCTGGACCCAACTAGAAATAATGGCCCAGGACAGAAATCTCTGGAGATCTACAGTACCTTTGGAGGCACATACACTGGGAGGGGTGACACGCAGTAATAATAGCGTCCACAAATATTAAAGTTTTAGTGGAGTCCTTTTCTTTCAGGAGCAGTTGTTCTCTCTGGGTGCTGTTGGTATTCCAGTGGCCCGTACTTCATTCAGATTGTTTTTATTCAGATTTATTTCCTGTTGGCACAACAAAGCATCAATTTCCTTTTTTCTTTTTTCTCATTCAGTTCAACCAGAGCGTCTTAAAACTCACTGTGAGCACCACAGAGACAGCGTAAAGACCACCAGTGCTGATGGATATCCCAAAACTGAAGTCTACAAACCACAGTGTGATGCAGAAGGACAGTATCTACCTCAGCAGGTGAAACTCTGACTTTTTATTTATTTATTTAGTGAATAACTACAGTTTCTTCTTTGGCTTTTATCAGTGATTTCTTTTTGTTCTTCTTAAGAC